GAAATTTTGGGAGGATGTCTCGAGCGAAACGCTGATTGTTCAACGAAAGTGTTTAAAACACATTGGTTTTTCAATATTTTCGCTTCTTGGGCCATCTTGGGGGTCATCCGAGATCGCTCCGAACAGATGCCTTACAAGAGCTCTGTCGGCATCCCATTTTTTCGAGGATGTCTCTGGCGAAACGCCCATTTTCGAGGATCCGAACATTAGGCGAGCGATTTCGAGATCCCGATTTTTGGAGGATGTCCCGAGCGAAACGCCCAGTTGTAGCAAAACACGTCTTAAGGTACGACACCCAATTTCACAATTTTGGGAGGATGGCTCGAGCGAAACGCCCCTTTTCAAAATCCGCCCCCTCGGAATCCGAGGGCAACCTTTCCTGACATGAACGGGAAGCGCGTGAAAGGGAAGAGTTACGCAAGAACTTGCAGCGTCATCGCGATCAAATGTAGTACAGGCGAGCTCTCCGAACGCTCACAAGGGATACATATGGACACGCGCCCCCCGAACGTTCACAAGCATGTTCCTGAGTATCCTCACCACTCCTCCGCATGAGAAAAACGACGGCGAAGACGACGACCGGGGAAGAAGGGAGAGGAGGAGGAGGAGGCGGAGGAGGAGGGGAGGAGGAGGAGGAGGAGGAGGAGGAGGAGCAGAAGAAGAGGTGAGGAGGAGGGGGAGGAGGACGAGGAAGAGGAGGAACAGGAGCAGGAGGAGGAGGAAAAGGAGGAAGAACAGGAGGAGGAGGAGGAGGAGTTGGAGGAGAAAGAGGAGGAAGAGGAAGAGGAGAAGACCGACGAGGAGGAGGACGAGGAGGAGGAGGAGGAGGAGGAAGGAGAAGTAGGAAGAAGGCGAGGAGGAGGAGGAGGAGGAAGATGAGGAAGAGGAGGAGGAGGAGGAGGAGGAGGAAGAAGAACAGAAGGAGGAGGACGAGGAGGAGGAGGAGGAGAAGGAGGAGGAGGAAAAGGAGGAGGAGGAAGAGGAGGACGAGGAGGAAGAGGACATTTTGGGAGGATGTCTCGAGCGAAACGCTGATGTTTCAACGAAAGTGTGTAAAACACATTGGTTTTTCAATATTTTCGCTTCTTGGGCCATCTTGGGGGTCATCCGAGATCGCTCCGAAAAGATGCCTTACAAGAGCTCTGTCGGCATCCCATTTTTTCGAGGATGTCTCTGGCGAAACTCCCATTTGCGAGGATCCGAAAATTAGGCGAGCGATTTCGATATCCCGATTTTTGGAGGATGTCCCGAGCGAAACGCCCAGGTTTAGCAAAAGACGTCTTCAGATACGACCCCCAACTTCTCGATTTTGGGAGGATGTCTCGAGCGAAACGCTCGTTTTCAGAACCTTTCCTGACATGAACGGGAAGCGCGTGAAAGGGAAGAGTTACGCAAGAACTTGCAGCGTCATCGCGATCAAATGTAGTACAGGCGAGCTCTCCGAACGCTCACAAGGGATACGTATGGACACGCGCCCCCCGAACGTTCACAAGCATATTCCTGAGTATCCTCACCACTCCTCCGCATGAGGAAGACGAGGGTGAAGACGACGACCGGGGCAGAAGGGATAGGAGGAGGAGGAGGAGGCGGAGGAGGGGAGGAGGAGGAAGAGGAGGAGGAGGAGGAGCAGAAGAAGAGGTGAGGAGGAGGAGGGGGAGGAGGACGAGGAAGAGGAGGAACAGGAGCAGGAGGAGGAGGAAAAGGAGGAAGAACAGGAGGAGGAGGAGTTGGAGGAGAAAGAGGAGGAAGAGGAAGAGGAGAAGACCGACGAGGAGGAGGACGAGGAGGAGGAAGGAGAAGTAGGAAGAAGGCGAGGAGGAGGAGGATGATGAGAAGTAGGAAGAAGGCGAGGAGGAGGAGGAAGATGAGGAAGAGGACGAGGAGGAGGAGGAGGAGGAGGAAGAGGAGGAAGAAGAACAGAAGGAGGAGGATGAGGAGGAGGAGAAGGAGAAGGTGAAGGAGGAAAAGGAGGAGGAGGAGGAGGAAGAGGAGGAGGAGGAGGAAGAAGTAATTGTGGGAGGATGTCTCGAGCGAAACGCTGATGTTTCAACGAAAGTGTGTAAAACACATTGGTTTTTCCATATGTTCGCTTCATATGACCCCCAACTTCACGATTTTGGGAGGATGTCTCGAGCGAAACGCTCGTTTTCAAAACCTTTCCTAACATGAACGGGAAGCGCGTGAAAGGGAAGACTTACGCAAGAACTTGCAGCATCATCGCGATCAAATGTAGTATAGGCGAGCTCTCCGAACGCTCACAAGGGATACGTATGGGCACGCGCCCCCCGAACGTTCACAAGCATATTCCTGAGCATCCTCACCACTCCTCCGCATGAGGAAGACGACGGCAAAGACGACGACCAGGGAAGAAGGGAGAGGAGGAAGAGGAGGAGGAGGAGGAGGAGGAGGAGGAGGAGGAGGAGGAGAAAGGGGAGGAGGAGGAGGAGGAGGAGGGGAGGAGGAGGAGGAGGAGGAGGAGGAGGAGGAGGAGGAGGAGGAGGAGGAAGGAGCAGCATCAGCAGTAGCAGCAAAAGAAGAAGTGAGGAGGAGGAGGGGGAGGAGGACGAGGAAGAGGAGGAACAGGAGCAGGAGGAGGAGGAAAAGGAGGAGGAACAGGAGGAGGAGGAGGAGTTGGAGGAGAAAGAGGAGGAAGAGGAGGAAGAGGAGAAGACCGAGGAGGAGGAGGAGGAGGAAGGAGAAGTAGGAAGAAGGCAAGGAGGAGGAGGAGGAAGATGAGGAAGAGGACGAGGAGGAGGAGGAGGAGGAAGAAGAACAGAAGGAGGAGGAGGAGGAGGAGGAGGAGGAGGAGGAGGAGGAGGAGGAGAAGGAGAAGGAGGAAAAGGAGGAGGAGGAGGAGGAACAGAGGAAATTTTGGGAGGATGTCTCGAGCGAAACGCTGATGTTTCAACGAAAGTGTGTAAAACACATGGGTTTTTCAATAGTTTCGCTTCTTGGGCCATCTTGGGGGTCATCCGAGATCGCTCCGAAAAGATGCCTTACAAGAGCTCTGTTGGCATCCCATTGTTTCGAGGATGTCTCGGGCGAGACGCCAATTTTCGAGGATCCGAACATTAGGCGAGCGATTTCGAGATCCCGATTTTTGGAGGATGTCCCAAGCCAAACGCCCATGTTTAGCAAAAGACGTCTTAAGATACGACCCCCAACTTCACGATTTTGGGAGGATGGCTCGAGTGAAACGCTCGTTTTTGAAATCCGCCAGGTGAAACATTTCCTAACATGAACGGGAAGCGCGTGGAAAGACTTACGCGAGAGCTTGCATCATCATCGCGATCAAATGTAGTATAGGAGAGCTCTCCGAACGCTCACAAGGGATACGTATTGACACGCGCCCCCCGACCGTTCACAAGCATATTCCTGAGTATCCTCACCACTCCTCCGCATGAGGAAGACGACGGCGAAGACGACGACCAGGGAAGAAGGGAGAGGAGGAGGAGGAGGAGGAGGAGGAGGAGGAGGAGGAGGAGGAGGAGGAGGAGGAGGAGGGGGGGAGGAGGAGGAGGGGAGGAGGAGGAGGGGAGGAGAGGAGGAAGGAGGAGGAGAAGGAGGAGGAGGAGGAGGAGGAGGAGAAGAGCAGCAGCAGCAGCAGCGCGGAAGAGAGGTGAGGAGGAGGAGGGGGAGGAGGGGGGAGGAAGAGGAGGAACAGGAGCAGGAGGAGGAGGAGGAGGAGGAGGAACAGGAGGAGGAGGAGGAGTTGGAGGAGAAAGAGGAGGAAGAGGAGGAAGAGGAGAAGACCGACGAGGAGGAGGAGGAGGAGGAGGAGGACGACGAGGAGGAAGGAGAAGTAGGAAGAAGGCGAGGAGGAGGAGGAGGAAGATGAGAAAGAGGACGAGGAGGAGGAGGAGGAGGAAGAAGAACAGAAGGAGGAGGAGGAGGAGGAGGAGAAGGAGAAGGAGGAAAAGGAGGAGGAGGAGGAAGAGGAGGAGGAGGAGGAACAGAGGAATTCTTGGGAGGATGTCTCGAGCGAAACGCTGATTGTTCAACGAAAGTGTGTAAAACACATGGGTTTTTCAATAGTTTCGCTTCTTGGGCCATCTTGGGGGTCATCCGAAATCGCTCCGAAAAGATGCCTTACAAGAGCTCTGTCGGCATCCCATTTTTTCGAGGATGTCTCGGGCGAGACGCCCATTTTCGAGGATCCGAAAATTAGGCGAGCGATTTCGAGATCCCGATTTTTGGAAGATGTCCCGAGCGAAACGCCCATGTTTAGCAAAAGACGTCTTAAGATACGACCCCAGACTTCTCGATTTTGGGAGGATGGCTCGAGCGAAACGCTCGTTTTCAAAATCCGCCAGGAAAACCACAGGCGAATGCCGCCACCACTCCCCCCCTGGACCCCCCCACTTGATAAATGCTTTCCCCTCCGGGCCGGTATACAACGTCCATCGCGCGACTCTAAAGAGTCTAAGCGCGCTTCCCGTCATCCGCCAGGTGAAAACGGAGAGCGGATCCCGCCACCACTCCCCCCCTGGACCCCCCACTTGATAAATGCTTTCCCCTCCGGGCCGGTATACAACGTCCATCGCGCGACTCTAAAGAGTCTAAGCGCGCTTCCCGTCATCCGCCAGGTGAAAACGGAGAGCGGGGGCCGGTATACAACGTCCATCGCGCGACTCTAAAGAGTCTAAGCGCGCTTCCCGTCAACCACAGGCGAATCCCGCCACCACTCCCCCCCTGGACCCCCCCACTTGATAAATGCTTTCCCCTCCGGGCCGGTATACAACGTCCATCGCGCGACTCTAAAGAGTCTAAGCGCGCTTCCCGTCATCCGCCACCTCGCGATCCGAGGGCAATCCCGCCACCACTCCACCCCTGGACCCCCCCACTTCATAAATGCTTTCCCCTCCGGGCCCGTATACAACGTCCATCGCGCGACTCTTCGAGTCTGAGCGCGCTTCCCGTCATCCTCCTGCAGAGGGACACGCCCGACTGCAAGCCAGGTCGATTGGGATTGGTCCGACGTAAGCGGGCGGGGAGGGCGCCTCGTCGCCGAGCTCGGCAAGCCGCCGC